CCTCCTCCTCCTCCTCCTCCTCCTCCTCCTCCTCCTCCTCCTCCTCCCACTACTCCAGGCGCACTCCTTCAGGGGGCGCTCCCCGCCTGCCGTGCAGGGAGGGAGCGCAGGCTCGTCCGGGAGAGAGCCATGACTTCGCCCTGCAAGCCCCGCCCGGAGAAGCCGCCTGCCTCGCCGACGCCATGGAGGGCAGCAGGCACAGGTTCCATGGCGAGCAACACTACCTGAGGCAAGCATGCCGATTGTGATCATGCGATTCTTGTGACAAGCCAGAGCAGTGCCACAATCCCCCTTGTGCATTCTGTCTGGTGGGACGCTTCAGAAGAGCCCCCCTCGAGGAAGGAACCTGCACTGGAGTCAAAGATTGCTTTTCCGTCCGAATCGCCACCAAAATGAGCAAACGCTCCTGTGAAGCAGCTCAAATAGGCGCTGCTATCGCTTTGCGGCAAAACTGTCTGGGCCGCGGAGGCTGGTTCGCTCCTGCGCCCGCCAGGCCTACGTAGTTCTACGAGGGGCGGAGAAACTCAAAGGATTTTGAAAAGACAGGGACCTGTTTTATAAAGAAAAGCTGCTGTACAATATGCCCGAGGGGGACAGTCAGCTAAGCTCACACCTGGTCCAGAACAGCCTAACCCCTCGCCCCAAGAAGGAATTCAGACAAGCCCCGGCTCTCTACGGACTTCTTCGTGCTGGGGGCCGCCTTGGGGGCCGCGGCGGCGGCCGTGTCCTTGTCATCCAGCGCAGCCACACCTGGCAGCACCTTGCCCTCCAGAAGCTCCAGGCTGGCACCGCCGCCCGTGGAGATGTGCGACATCTTCGGCGCCAGGCCAGACTTGTTCACCGCAGACACGGAGTCCCCGCCACCGATGATGCTGATGGCGCCGTTCTTCTCCGTCAGCTCAGCGATGCACTCGGCCACGTCGTAGGTGCCCTTGCTGAACTGCGGGCTCTCGAACACTCCCATGGGGCCGTTCCAGATGATCGTCTTGCAATCCGCCAGGGCAGCCTTGATCTCCTCGGTCGCCTTCGGGCCGTTGTCAAGGCCGAGCCAGCCGTCCGGAATCTGATCCGCGGGCACCACCTTGTAGTTGACCTCTTTGCCCCCCGCGGGGAACTCGTCGCCGCAGGCTATGTCGCTGGGGAGGATGATCTCGACGCCCTTGGCCTTGGCCTGCTCCTCCAGCTGCTTGACAGTCTCGATGAGGTCGTCCTCCACCAGGGAGTTCCCGACCGAGAGGCCGCGGGCCTTCAGGAAGGTGAACACCATGCCGCCGCCAATGATCACCTTGTCCACCTTTTCCAGCATGGACTCGATCACTGGGATCTTCGTGCTCACCTTGGCGCCGCCCACGATGGCCGCCATCGGCTTCACCGGGCTGTCCACGGCGCCCTTCAGGTAGTCCAGTTCCTCCAGGCACGCGCTGGGGCCGTAAGGTCGGGCGGGGAAACAGGGCGAGGTGTCAACTGGTGCGCAAGCTTGGGCGCCTGAAAACTGTCAGGAGGAGGACGATGAAGAGGAGGACGAAGACGAGGACGACGACGAGGGATGGAGGGAGCGGGGAGGCGTCAGGAGCGACAACCGAGAAGGGAGAGGAGGGACAAACAGAACACGACGAGCAACTTCCCGGGCAGCCGTCAGCGAGGGAGGAGGAGAGCAAGGAGTAAGGAGCACAGAGGACAGGGAGAGGAACGAGAGCCAGAGAGAGAGAGAGGGGGGGGAGAGGAAGAGGCAGGAGGAGGAGGAGGAGAAGGAGGAGGAGGAGGAGGAGCAGAAGGAGGACAAGGAGGAGGAGGAGGAGGAGGAGGAGGAGGAGAAGGAGGAGGAGGAGGAGGAGGAGGAAGAGGGGGAGGAGGAGGAGGAGGAGGAGGAGGAGGAGGAGAGGACAGGAGGAGGAGGAGGAGGAGGAGGAGGGGAACGAGGACGACAACGAAGGATGGAGGGAGCAGGGAGGTGGGAGGAGCGACGAACGAGAAGGGAGATTAGATAGAGGAGGAGGAGGAATCGTGGCAAGGGGAACGAGAAGGGAGATGAGGTAGAGGAGGGAAATGGAAGAGAGAAGGAAAAAAGGAAATGGGGGTGTAGGGCAGGGATGACAGGGGGAGCAAGGAGGGAAAACATAAAGGAAGAAAGGAAGGAAGGAAGGAGGAAGAAAGGAAACAATGGAGGAAACACGGAAGGAAGAAAGAGGAAATGCCCCTCTTCCACCCACCCATTCTCCACCGAAGGGGAGCAGACCCCCTCGTCGCCCCCTGTCCTTCTTCAGCAGGAAGCCCGAGACGCTCGGCCTCAGGAATTTGGTCACGCCCTCGGTGGAGGAGTGAGCGCGGTGCGCGGTGCCGAACGCGTCGTTCACGAACAGGTCCGCCAGGCTGGCCATGCTCTCTGCCAGCTCGAGGTCGTTCTTGGTCTCCCCCTTGTAGAACCGAGTGTTCTCCAGGACCATCACGTCTCCCTCGCCCATGGCCGACACCATCTCCTTCACCTCGTCGGTGGCCTTGCAGTCCGGGGCGCACTTGATATCCTTCTTCATCAGCTCCCCCAGCTTCTTCGCCACCGGCTTCAGCGAGAACTTCTCCTCGGGTCCGTCTTTGGGACGGCCCAGGTGGGAGCACGCCAGCACCTTGGCGCCCTTGCTGCAGAGGTACTCGATCGTCGGGATCGAAGCCGTGATTCGCGTCTCGTCTGTGATCTCCAGGTCCGCATTCAGGGGCACGTTGAGGTCGCACCGGATCAGCACCGTCTTTCCCTTCAGGTCCGCCTCGCCGAGGTCCTCCACGGACTTCTTCACGCTGGGGGCTGCCTTGGGGGCCGCGGCAGCCTTGGGGGCCGTGGCAGCCTTGGGGGCCGCCGCAGCCTTGGGGGCCGCGGCGGGCCGCGTGTCAGCGACCCCGCAGCGCAGTCCACACCTGGCACACCTTGCCTCCAAAAGCTCCAGCAGGCTACCAAAACCGCCTGTTGAGATGTGCGACATCTTCGTCGCCAGGCCAGACTTGTTCACCAGCAGACACGGCATCCCCCGCCACCGATGATCTGATGGCCGTTCTTCCAGATGGTCCTCACGAGCACTCCGAGCCAACGTTCGTAGTGGTGCCCTTGCTGACAACTGCGCTCTCGAACACTCCATGGGGTCCGTTCAGTCTCGAGCTTGCAATCTCGCCAGGCATCCTTTATCTCCTCGTCGCCTTCGGTCCGTTTGTCAACGCCGAGCCTGCCGTCCGGAATCTGATACCGCGGCGGCACCACCTATGAGTAGTTGACTCTCTTTGCCCCGCCACAGGGAACTCGTCGCCGCAGGCTATGTCGCTGGGGAGGATGATCTCGACGCCCTTGGCCTTGGCCTGCTCCTCCAGCTGCTTGACAGTCTCGATGAGGTCGTCCTCCACCAGGGAGTTCCCGACCGAGAGGCCGCGGGCCTTCAGGAAGGTGAACACCATGCCACCGCCAATGATCACCTTGTCCACCTTTTCCAGCATGGACTCGATCACTGGGATCTTCGTGCTCACCTTGGCGCCGCCCACGATGGCCGCCATCGGCTTCACCGGGCTGTCCACGGCGCCCTTCAGGTAGTCTAGTTCCTCCAGGCACGCGCTGGGGCCGTAAGGTCGGGCGGGGAAACAGGGCGAGGTGTCAACTGGTGCGCAAGCTTGGGCGCCTGAAAACTATCAACCGAAGTTTCCACGCTACTGGGTAGGAAAGGTAAAGCAGAATGAGCACTCCCCCAGGGTAGCCGTCGAAGGGCTAAGTATGTCCACCACGAGGGAGGAGGAGAGCAGAGAGCAAGGAGCACAGACGAGCGAAGGAAGACGATGAAGAGGAGGACGGACGACGACGAGGAACGGAGGGAGCGGGGAGGCGTCAGGAGCGACAACCGATAAGGGAGAGGAGGGACAAATAGAACACGACGAGCAACTTCACGGGTAGCCGTCAGAGGGCTAAGGATGCCCACCACGACGGAGGAGGAGTGCAAGGAGTAAGGAGCACAGAGGACAGGGAGAGGAGCGAGAGCCAGAGAGAGAGGGGGGAGAGGAAGAGGCAGGAGGACGAGGAGGAGGACGAGGAGGAGGAGGAGGAGCAGGAGGAGGAGGAGGAGGCATCGGAGGCATGAAGGGGAGAGGATTGAGGGAGATGGAGGAGGAGAAAGAGGAGGACAAGGAGGAGGAGGAGGAAGAGGAGGAGGAGGGTTGAGGAGGAGGAGGAGGAGGAGGAGGAGGCGAGAAGGAGGATGAGGAGGACGAGGACGACAACGAAGGAGGGAGGGAGCAGGGAGGTGGGAGGAGCGAGGAACGAGAAGGGAGATTTAGGTAGAGGAGGAGGACTAGTGGAAAGGGGAACGAGAAGGGAGATGAGGTAGAGGAGGACATGGAAGAGAGGAGGAAGGAAGAAAATGAGGGTGGAGGGCAGGGATGACAGGGGGGAGCAAGGAGGGAAGGAAGAAAGGAAGAAAGGAAGAAAGGAAGGAAGGAGGAAGAAAGGAAAAAAGAAGGAAGAAACAGGAACTGCCCCTTCTCTACCCACCCATTCTCCACCGAAGGGGAGCAGACCCCCTCGTCGCCCCCTGTCCTTCTTCAGCAGGAAGCCCGAGACGCTCGGCCTCAGGAATTTGGTCACGCCCTCGGTGGAGGAGTGAGCGCGGTGCGCGGTGCCGAACGCGTCGTTCACGAACAGGTCCGCCAGGCTGGCCATGCTCTCTGCCAGCTCGAGGTCGTTCTTGGTCTCCCCCTTGTAGAACCGAGTGTTCTCCAGGACCATCACGTCTCCCTCGCCCATGGCCGACACCATCTCCTTCACCTCGTCGGTGGCCTTGCAGTCCGGGGCGCACTTGATATCCTTCTTCATCAGCTCCCCCAGCTTCTTCGCCACCGGCTTCAGCGAGAACTTCTCCTCGGGCCCGTCCTTGGGACGGCCCAGGTGGGAGCACGCCAGCACCTTGGCGCCCTTGCTGCAGAGGTACTCGATCGTCGGGATCGAGGCTGTGATGCGCGTCTCGTCCGTGATCTCCAGGTCCGCATTCAAGGGCACGTTGAGGTCGCACCGGATCAGCACCGTCTTGCCCTTCAGGTCCGCCTCGCCGAGGTCCTCCACGGACTTCTTCACGATGATCTTCTCATCCAGCGCAGCCACACCTGGCAGCACCTTGCCCTCCAGAAGCTCCAGGCTGGCACCGCCGCCCGTGGAGATGTGCGACATCTTCGGCGCCAGGCCAGACTTGTTCACCGCAGACACGGAGTCCCCGCCACCGATGATGCTGATGGCGCCGTTCTTCTCCGTCAGCTCAGCGATGCACTCGGCCACGTCGTAGGTGCCCTTGCTGAACTGCGGGCTCTCGAACACTCCCATGGGGCCGTTCCAGATGATCGTCTTGGCACAATCCGCAGGGCAGCCTTGCATCTCCTCGGTGCGCCTTCGGGCCGTTGTCAAGGCCGAGCCATCCTCCCGGAATCTCAGTCCTGCGGGCAACCCACCTTGTAGTTGAACCTCTTTGCCCCCCTACAGGGAACTCGTCGCCGCAGGCTATGTCGCTGGGGAGGATGATCTCGACGCCCTTGGCCTTGGCCTGCTCCTCCAGCTGCTTGACAGTCTCGATGAGGTCGTCCTCCACCAGGGAGTTCCCGACCGAGAGGCCGCGGGCCTTCAGGAAGGTGAACACCATGCCGCCGCCAATGATCACCTTGTCCACCTTCTCAAGCATGGACTCGATCACTGGGATCTTGGTGCTCACCTTGGCGCCGCCCACGATGGCCGCCATCGGCTTCACCGGGCTGTCCACGGCGCCCTTCAGGTAGTCCAGTTCCTCCAGCTACGGGCTGGGGCTTCAAGATCGGTGGGGGAACAGGGGGAGGCATCATTGGTGCGCATGCTTGGGCGCCTGAAAACTGTAAACCAAGGTTTCCACGCCACCGGGCAGGATAGGTAAAGCAGGATGAGCAACTTCCCAGGGTAGCCGTCGGAGGGCCAAGGATGTCCCCCACGAGGAAGAAGGAAGGAAGGCAGGCAGGAAGGAAAGAAGGCGGTAGGGAGGGAGGCAGGGAGGGAAGGAGGGAAGGAAGGTAGGAGGGAAGAGGAAGGCCCCCTCCTCTACACACCCATCCTCCATCGCACAAGATCTGGCCCCCTCGTCGCCCGCTGTCCTTCTTCAGCAGGAAGCCCGAGACGCTCGGCCTCAGGAATTTGGTCACGCCCTCGGTGGAGGAGTGAGCGCGGTGCGCGGTGCCGAACGCGTCGTTCACGAACAGGTCAGCCAGGCTGGCCATGCTCTCTGCCAACTCGGGGTCGTTCTTGGTCTCCCCCTTGTAGAACCGAGTGTTCTCCAGGACCATCACGTCTCCCTCGCCCATGGCCGACACCATCCCCTTCACCTCGTCGGTGGCCTTGCAGTCTGGGGCGCACTTGATGTCCTTCTTCATCAGCTCCCCCAGCTTCTTCGCCACCGGCTTCAGCGAAAACTTCTCCTCGGGTCCGTCCTTGGGACGGCCCAGGTGGGAGCACGCCAGCACCTTGGCGCCCTTGCTGCAGAGGTACTCGATCGTCGGGATCGAGGCTGTGATGCGCGTCTCGTCCGTGATCTCCAGGTCCGCATTCAGGGGCACGTTGAGGTCGCACCGGATCAGCACCGTCTTGCCCTTCAGGTCCGCCTCGCCGAGGTCCTCCACGGACTTCTTCACGCTGGGGGCTGCCTTGGGGGCCGCGGCAGCCTTGGGAGCCGTGGCAGCCTTGGGGGCCGCGGCAGCCTTGGGGGCCATGGCAGCGGCGGCCGTGTCCTTGTCATCCAGCGCAGCCACACCTGGCAGCACCTTGCCCTCCAGAAGCTCCAGGCTGGCACCGCCGCCCGTGGAGATGTGCGACATCTTCGGCGCCAGGCCGGACTTGTTCACCGCAGACACGGAGTCCCCGCCACCGATGATGCTGATGGCGCCGTTCTTCTCCGTCAGCTCAGCGATGCACTCGGCCACGTCGTAGGTGCCCTTGCTGAACTGCGGGCTCTCGAACACTCCCATGGGGCCGTTCCAGATGATCGTCTTGCAATCTGCCAGGGCAGCCTTGATCTCCTCGGTCGCCTTCGGGCCGTTGTCAAGGCCGAGCCAGCCGTCCGGAATCTGATCCGCGGGCACCACCTTGTAGTTGACCTCTTTGCCCCCCACAGGGAACTCGTCGCCGCAGGCTATGTCGCTGGGGAGGATGATCTCGACGCCCTTGGCCTTGGCCTGCTCCTCCAGCTGCTTGACAGTCTCGATGAGGTCGTCCTCCACCAGGGAGTTCCCGACCGAGAGGCCGCGGGCCTTCAGGAAGGTGAACACCATGCCGCCGCCAATGATCACCTTGTCCACCTTTTCCAGCATGGACTCGATCACTGGGATCTTGGTGCTCACCTTGGCGCCGCCCACGATGGCCGCCATCGGCTTCACCGGGCTGTCCACGGCGCCCTTCAGGTAGTCCAGTTCCTCCAGCTACGGGCTGGGGTCAACAGATCGGGCGGGTGAACAGGATGAGGTAACATTGGTGCGCAAGCT